AGCACTGGGGCTTTGGTGACCTTGAATTAGGTAGAAACCTTAGGTTTCAACCAAGGTAGGAAAAGGCCCAGAGGAAACCCTATCCTAGCTGAGGGAAGTGATTTTTCCTCTCCATCTCCCTGTAAGGGGCCTGTCCCCACACACTGGGACTTGATCATGCTGCTGAGACTTGGGGAACTTCTCTGATGCTCCCTAAGCAGAAGAAGTCAGGAGCTCCTGAAAATGTCTGCAAAGACCTGCTTGTTCAGGCTGTGAGTAGAGTTGAGGGCATCCACATCTGCTAGCCCTGTTGAGGCTGTCTGGGACAATGATAACTGTATTGTACTACATGTCTCTCAACATATCTAGTTACTTTATTTTAGGAGGAAAGCAAGGAGAAACAGTGAAGACAACATTCCCCTTCATTTAATTACAGGAACAGTCAGGACCAATTTGGCAGCTATTACATACTAGTTTGCCTTTATGCCATCTCTTCTCAGCAGGAGCTCAAAGTCCAAATTGGCTGCTAAAGGCAGGAGATGGGGACAGAAGGTCAATGCTGCTATTAGACACCATGTGGAGTTAAAAACTGAGGCACCATGTGGCCTATTTTGTGTCCCACTGCTTGCTTTTGCCTGTCCCCATGTCTTTGTTTTATAAACTCTTTGCTTCTGTCACAATGTCTTTTACAAGAACTGGACTAGAAGAAGCATCAGAATAGGAAGGGGCTTGGGAGACCATCTTGTTCATCCCCCTGGTTTGTCAAAGGAAGGAAATGAAGCCCAGAGAAACAGAGTGGCTGTCTCAAAGCCAGCCAGCATGTTGGAAGAAAGCACGACCACAGCACAGAGAAGCTTCACCATGCAGGGACTCTGAGCTTTGGAGGCAGAGCCACCTGGCTCTGAGTCCTGGACCTGCCCTAGCTGTGTGAGCTTAAGTGACTTCCTTCACCTCCCAGAGTCTCAGTTTCCTTCTCTGTGAAATAAGGCAAAAAGTTGGGAAGGGTCACCATCTGGAGCCCCAGAATGAAAACCCAACACAAAGGACAATAGGAATAATGAAGTTAAGTTAATGGGTCAAAGGTTCAACAGGTACAAACTTCCAATTATAAAATAAGTCATGGAAATGTTACGGACAGCATGGTGACTACAATCAATACTACCATACTGTGTATTTGGAAATTGCTAAGAGGGTAGATCTTAAAAGTTCTCATTGCAAGAAAAAAAAAATCTGTGCCCTGGTTTAGTTGGTTGGAGCATCGTCCTATACACCAAAAGGCTGAGGGTTCGGTCCCTGGTCCGGGTGTGTACAGGAGGAAACAGATCCATGTTTCTCTCTCTCTTTCTCTATTTCTTTTTCTCTTTCTTTAAAATCAATGAATATATCCTCAGATGACGAATAAAAAATTGTAACTGTTAACTAGATGTTTTGCAATATATACACATATCCAGTCATTATACTACACACCAAAAACTAACGTAATGTTCTACCTCAATTAAAAAAAAGAGATTCCTGCCAGTGAACTACTTGGTTATTTAAAGGGACATGTTTATTTTACTTTAACTCTCTCCAAGAATAATAAAAAAATAATTAAACAACTTAAAGAAATGAAAGCACTAATAGAGTCAGGGTTTGATGATATCATTTGAACTGTTTGATTAGCCATATCTGAAGTTGGATGCTGATATTTTAGTTGTATTAGTCAATACCTTCCTTACTCCTTAAGCTACTTTGATCTGGGTTTCTGTCATTTCCCACCAAAAGTACCCTTCCTAGCACATCACCAGTGCAGGAACTGGGGCTAAGCTCTGCACATGTGAGATGAGATCGACAACAAAAGGCAGGCAGTGGCCAAGCTTGTTCCTATAGCAGGTGAGACCTCAGCTAACAAAGAGGAGAGTGGCAGATGACATCATGCTGGTTCATGTTAGTATTACATTAACACTAAATTACTGGCCTTAATTCATCAGGTGAGAGAATCCCAGCTGAGGACTCATGGACTAGTGCTGAAACTTGTGAGCTCTTCTGCCCTTGAATTTTAGGGCTCTTGAAGGAGGTACAAGCAACAGCTCCTTAGTCTGAGCCTTTATCCTGTCCCATGCTATTTGAGTACCACTTATCAGCTACTGATGCACATCAATGAGACAGGATATACACACCCAGAGGCATAATTCTTGCCCATAAATCATCTATTTCTGTCTTCCAACAGCAATATTTTAGTCCTATACTTAGCATGGCAATGCTGTCATTATCATCACCACTACCATCATCATAGGGCATTTACTATAGGTCCAAATTTTTTAGTGCAGCATCTCATTTAATCTTACCAGCAATCCCATGAGAGTAGGTCTATTAATAAGTCCACTGTATGGGGAAGGAAAACGGCTCAGAGAGGTGAAGTCACCTGTCCAATGAAACACAACAAGGACATGGTAGAGCAGAACTCCAACCCAAGAGGTGTAATCTTAAAGACCATGATTTTAACCTCTGTCCTTTGTACAGTTCCTAGCATAGTGCCTGGAAATAGCAGTCAGGGAATAAACACTGACTAGACTGAAGCAGAAGTAGTATGGTGGACGTCATTCTGTCATGTCTATTCACTTACGATGGGCTCCATTCTCATGATGCAACTTTGTTCACACAAAACATGTATGACAAGGTTCCCTACCGGGGACAAAGGTCTTCATTCTCTATCTAAGGGTGGGGACATGAAAATGTGGGCCAGTTTTGATTATTAACCACATCCATGGAAGCTCCATCTCATTTCCATGGGCTTTGAGGCCAGAGATGTGGGTTCACATTAGCACTCTCCTGCCCTGTGACCTTGGAAAAATCATTTAGATTCCCAAAGACCTTTTTTTTTTCTTGACAAATGGGATACTAAATCTTATTTTTGTAGTGAGTGGCTGTAAGAATGAAATTGGATCCTGCCCGAAAAGGTACACCAAAGCAATGGGCACTTAGTAGGAACACAACACACAATGGTTATAATTCTTCTTTTTCCACCCAGATCTTCCTCACCCTTAGTGGCCAAACATGCTATGCTAATCTGTGCTGATTTATAGAGCATCTTCAAACCTGAGGCTCTTTCTTATTTTATTTTTTAAAGTAAAGATTTAATCTTTTAAAATTTATTTATTTTTAGAGAGAGGGGAAGGGAGGGAGAAAGAGAAGGAGAGAAACATCAATTGGTTGCTTCATGCCCCCAACTGGGGACCTGGCCCACAATCCAGGCATGTGCCCTGACTGGGAATTGAACCAGTGACCTGGTTTACAGGCTGGTGCTCAATCCACTGATCCACATCAGCTGGGATGAAACCTGGGGCTCTTTTTAAATGTAAAGAATGCAGCCTGTCAATAGGAGAGGCACAATCTATAAATAGACAGCTGGATGAAATCAAAGTTAAAATGCAGGAAAAGGATACATCACAAGGAGTTCCTACTCAAAGGTCAGGAACTGGAGACCACTGCTTCTTTTGTCCCTGACGTGGATGACTGGGTAAGCTAAGTCACACAGCCAGGCAAAACCACACCTCCATCGTCAATGGCAGAGTACACCTAAAGCAGAGATGGCAAATTGCAGTGCCAACGGGGCTGGGTGTGGAAGAGGGACAGGTGAGAACTTCAGAGACATGGAAAACACAGACATTATCTCTGATCCAGCTGATAACTGCTATGAGAAAATTCAGGCACGGAGTTAGTGGGTCTTCTTTTCTTTAAAGCATTTTTTTTTATTCCTCACCTGAGGTTTTTTTTTTTATTGACTTTGGAGAAAGAAAAGGGGTGGGGAGAGACAAGAGGGCAGAACACTGATGTGAGAGAGAAACGTCAATTGGTTGCTTCCCATATTGGTTGCTTCCTGAATGTGCCCCAACTGAGGGTAGAACCCAAAACCTAGATATGTGCCCTGACCAAGGATTGAACCTGCAACCTTTTGGCATATGGGACAACTCTCCAACCAACAGAGCCACCAGGCCAGAGCTAGACCTTCTTATCTTTTAGGATGAACTAGAAATCTGGATTTTCATGAGACTGCATCCCTCCCAACTGATCTCTGTCCACAGAGATTTGCTATTTTTAAATGGAGCTATTAATTTTCAAATACAGCACCTGAATTAAACACAACAAAACAAAACCAACATGAGAGCCAAACAAAAACAGGTTAATGAGCTAAAATTACTCTATGAGCTGCCAGGGTGTGCCCTGAGGGCAACTCCAAAAAAAAGGCTCTAAGATGTTAAGAGTGACCTGGGCTGGATTTTAATGATATTTTACATCTGAACGGTGGAGCTGATCATGACTGAAACCCTCCCTGATGATCACTGGCCATGGAGATTTGGACTCAGCTCAAAGCTGGATGGTACTGATGCTATTTGAGCATTGCTCATTTTAATGAGGGAGATGCAATGGGTACAATTGGGCTTTGGGCGCCTCGGACCCCTGCCAATGTCTTGGGCAGCAAAGCAAGTCAATGGCGAGGGTACAAGGCTGGAGTCAGGATACTTGAGTTCAACTCCACACTGGCATGATACTCTTTTCCACTAGAAAGTAAATCCATGAGAGCGAGGATTTTGTCTTGTTCACTGCTAGAAGGGTGCCTGGCGCATCCTTGGCATTCGGCAAACATTTTTTGAATGACTGGCTGACCAGATGGTTACTCTGGGGATGTCACAAACTATGGGCCTCTGTCTTCACACCAGTAAAATGGGAACTAACGATGGCTGCTCTGCTTGTGTTGAAGGGTTGCCACAGTGAGATGACAGACCCACAAAGCACCTGGACCAGGGGTGTAAAGGGCAATGACATTTCCTATGAAACATTTACTGTGCTCTCTCTCCTTGGCTGATAGGAGGGGCCACTTCAGGTCCTGCATGGATGGGTGAGGCCCACCATGCCTGTCTTTCTTCCATCCTCAACTTGTTTTCTGGCTGCACCAAACCAGCCTGGAAGGAAGTCCCAAAATGATCATTCAGATTTTCATTTCCATTTTGTACAAAGATAGGGGAAGGATGTACTACTACCTTGCATTGTCCCGGCCGTGTGACTTCAAGAAATTCATATCTCGGTATCGGGAGAGAAATGCCACCAGCTGGTCATTTGTCCTGTGGAAAAAAAGAGGAAAGTCAGAATCCTCCAGGGGTGATGGAGAATTGAATCTCAGTTCCATTCTTCGTCATAGAAAACAGGATCCCTCCTCCTTTCACACCAGCCAATGGCCTGATAAGGCTGTATTCTTTCATGAGTCACTATCAATCACACTACATTACAACACACTCTTTGTATTTGTCTCCTATATGCTCCATATACTGTGAAATCCTTGAGGATGAGGATAATATCTTACTCATTTTGGAATCTTCAGTGCCCAGCCCTGGGCTTGGCAAATAAGTCATCAGTGTGTAGCTCAATGTCAAATACACAGTAACCTCAGGGCCTTTACACCTGTTGTGCTTGGAAAATCCTGTCCTGTATCTTCCCATCACTAGCTTGCTGTTGCTATCCAGGTTTTCTTTTAAATGTCCTTTCATCAGAGAGGACTTTTATGGTCATACAACCTAAAGTAGCACCTATATCTCCATCTCTGCCTTTATCACTATCTTATCGCTCCATTTATTCCACTATTTTATCACCACCTGAAGGTGTTGAATTTCCTTACATTAGGATGTAAATTCAAAAAAGACAGAACCTTGCCCATCACTGGCACATAGTAGGAACTACATTAGCTCCTACTGTAGGAGCATCCACCTGTTTGTTGGATGAATAAATGACTCAAAGTTGACATGAGTTTGAACTGACTCTTTTCAAGTGCATTTCAAGAAATGAATGAATCAACGAATGAATGAATACCAAGTTTCTCGACAACCACTGGGCACCTGATTGAGAGATCTTTAACAAAGATAAAGTGCAATGCTAACGAATGACATGTTCTCAGCATTGTTATCCCAAATTTATCACCATCAATCTCGGCACTAGCAGTGTAGTCACAGCTAATCAGCTTGGGCATACAGCTGTGACAGTATTTTAAAAGGCAGTCACATGGGTCTCCATCTGCCAGAAATGCAGTCGCCTCTTCTGCTGAATAAACCCAAACAGGTAAACGGTGCCAAAGTGACAGCTCTTTTATCATCAGGCTCCTCTGCTCAGGGATTTTTATTTAGAAGGAAAGGGTTAACTATTGTTTCAAATTGGGAGAAATGTGAAAGCAATGGAAAGAAAGGACACTTTTGGGAACAGAATGTAGGCAAGACCTTTGGGAGGTAGGTAGGGTACCTTAGAAGGTGATGCCTTGGATTCAAGAAGCAGAAGAACCTGGAGACAGGTCTCCCAGATCTTCTCATGACCATACCCTGTGTGTCCAAGGATAAGTCATTTATCTTCTCTGAACACACCTTGCTGCCCAGCACACAGTAGGCTCTCCATTCTTATCTTCTGAATGGACAACTGGTGGGTTTAAAGGGCATATAGTAGGTGTGCTGTAAGTACAAGCTGCTCTACTCTTTCTGCCTCCCACCATCTGGTCCAAGCTGCTCCCACCCCCTACTGCTTCTTCATTCCCCTGCAACTCTCTGCAGTGGAGCCACTCCAAGTCTCTGTTCTGTGATTGGATGACTCGTATTGACCAACTCAATTCCAGCGAAGGGGGCACAAGGCAGTAAAGAGATGCTGCAGTGAAAATGAACACTGCCGATGCCCTATCCTATTAACAGAAATAAACACCAACTCAAAACCAGCCATTCTAGCAGGTGGTAGACTCCAGAACAACCCCGTGTGTCCACAACGAGCTAAATCCAGCACACACACAGAAAGCTAAGCCCTGCCGGCATGCACAGAGGGCAACCCCGGGGATGCAGAAAAATGCTCCCCCCACATGTCTGCACAACGATGGTGCATCTCCTGTGTGGACAAATCTCTACCACTCACTGCTAGGTCAAGTCCATGTCTGCCCTGTGCAAGTTATGGTAGCTTGTGGGCAGAGGGTTCCTGAAGTTGCTGGAAGAGGTGTTAACTAAATCAGCCGATAAAAAAATTAAAGCAAGCTCTCTCTAAACTATCTACATGTCTTAGCAGTTCCTATTCAGCAACCCCCTCACTACTCTCTGCGACAGTTCATTATTGTTGTCCTGATGAATACGGGGACAAGTTAACCTCTGAATGGGTCCCTGGCAGCAGGAATAATAAATAGGGGCCTCTCAGTAGCCTCAGTGGGAGGGTAGAAGGGGCTGGGCTGGGGGGTCCCTAGGGGCCCCCTCTCCCGATGCCTCAGCCCTCCCAGGGTCAGTGGCTGCAGCTCCATTTGGCAACCCCAGAAAGCCCTTTCAGGGCCCTGAGCTGGGACCATTTTCACATTTACCGCTTCACCAAGTCCCCATCAGATGGGGATGAATAGGCATTTAACAAATTTACTTAGCGATGCTTCCACATGAAATCCTCTCAAAAGATGACATCTTGGGGGAGGAAGGGTGGATGAGAGGGGGCCGTGGATTCCAGGCCTACAGCTTGTGGGTAAAAGCTGCTTTTCAAAGCAGAGAGCTGTGCCCCCTGCCTGTCCCCTCTCCCTGGGGCCCTGGCCCCCTCGCTCTCCCTCTGCATAAATAAGCCTGCTCTGAATACTAAAGCTTGTCTCCCCAGCCCTTCTCCAAAGGGAGATGGAATTCGGCTGGGGCCCAAGTTTTCCTATTGTTGCTTTCAGACGCCTGTCGATAATTGCCTACATAATATTTAGTTCTCTCCAGATAATTAACAGCTTGCGATCTGTTGACATTTTACTCAGTTCCAGCCTCTGTCTCCCTCACACACATTTCTCACTCACTCTTTCTGGTGGAGTTGTTTGCCAAGTGGCTCCCACAGCTCGTCACTTGTGTCTGTCTCCTCCCCAGTTTCTTTGCACCTTTGGCAGAAATTGTTAGAAGATATGTCTCTTCATCTATGCCAGTTCCTCTGATTCATGATGGTGACTCCGGGGTCCATCATGGTACTGCTAGGAGCCACTGGAACATCTTTGTTTTAATTAACATGTTTTTGATAAATATTAAAATACACGTATTGGAGCCATATGGGGATATCAGTTGAAATATATAAATAAATAAGGAAGGACACTCCATGACCACTTATGGAATGTCCACCATGGTCTAGGCCCTAGGGCAGACTTCTGCTACACTTTTTTGCACTTAAGTTTTCACAAAGATGTTATAAAATGTGAGATTCATTCCCATTTTAGAGATGGGCAGGTGAGACTCCAAGAGTCACCTGTTTAGGTAAATGGAGAAATTGGGGGTGCAACTACCGGACCACCTCTACAAGTGGATGTGTGAATAAATGAGCAAGTAAGTGAATGAAGGAATGAATTCCATTCCAGGTGCAGGAGAAAATATACAAGGGCTCTGATGCCTCCCAATTCAGAGTCTAGTCTTCACAGCAAGAGCAGCAGCCCTCTGCCATTAGACACTGTATCTTAGGTTCCACCCAAGACCTACTGAGTTTAAATCTGCTTTTAAGACAAGATTCCCAGGTGAGGCATCTGCCCTTTAAAACTTAAGAAGCGCTGTTTTAATTAAGTCAAGCATGGATATCAGTAGTTAACTCTCTTCCTCTTTCTTCATTCATCATTCCTCATGGTCTCTTCCTGAAAGACCGACGACGCTGAGCATGTTACTTTCATCTCCGTAAACCTCACATGTTGGGAGTATTAAATAAAATAATGCATGTAAAACCTGGGCGGTAGCACCTGGCATATCGTAAGCCTTTGATAATGTGGCCTGTTACTTAATAATATGTATTATTGCCATTTTGAACATCAGAACCTTAAGATATTTTGAACCTGGGACAGTAGTATAAGGACCCAGCCTAACTTGAACCTGGAAGGCTTTCTATGTATCACATATATGGGATGTTCTGCAGAGCATGGTTTGAGAATGCCCCCAGAGGGGACTTGTCCACAGTCTCCCAGCTGGTGTAGGGATAGGAACTGTCGTCCGGAGGGCCACTGCACTATCATGTTGTCTGATGTGCGTAATGACTCCGGGCTGGAGACACACAGGAAGGGGCATGGTTCACCTCTCTGGTTCTCCTGCCCCCACATCCCCTCACCCTTGATGCCTAGGAGCCTGTCTGCTTTTAAACAAGCCCGTCTGCTGGCAGCGTGTGATTGGGTGAGGAGAGGATGGAGCCTGTTTAGCCTCTACCTAAAAAAAAAGCCCAACTCAGAGCCACCTTTTCTTCTCTGGGTCCCTCCTGCCCACCACGCTCAGGCCCCAGATCTCTCTCCAACACAGGATGCTTACGACTGATGATGAGGCTGACAGGCCTCAGGCAAAAGTGAAGCACAGAGTTTTGTGAATGTCAAGATTCAGGATTTCAACCCCCTAATGCTGCCGGTGTGCACAGACTTCCTGGATGCAGTGGGTGGGCCATCTGCGGAGCAGAAATGTGCGTGAGTGGTGGTGAGAGACTGTGGGATCTGGCAAGGCGAGGGTGTGAGGGCCTAAGAGGCACCTTCAATCTGAGTTCCAAGTACATGATGTCAGTATTTCCCCAATTCCTACTATGTGTATCACATGTAGAGTTGTATCATATTTATGTTCCATTTAATTTTTTAAAATCCTCACCCAAGGACATTTTTTCATTCCTTTTGGAGACAGAGGAAGGGAGGCAAGAAGGGAGAGAAACAAACATCGATTGGTTGCCTCTGGTACGCTCCTGGACTGGGGATCAAACCCACAAGCAGTCATGGCCCTGACCTGGAACCTAACCCACAACCTTTCGGTTATAAGACAAGGCTCTGCAAAAAACAGCCACATGGGCCATGGCTGTATGTTCAATTTAAATACCACTTTAGTTTTACTGATGCACCTTTTTGTCCCCCAAATTTTGTATTCTGGTAAAATACACATAACGTGAAATCTGCCACTTCGCCCATCTTTAAGTGTACAGCTCAGTCCCTTTAAGTACATTCACAATGTTGTGCCACCATCGCCACCACCCATCTCCAAGCCTCTTTTAATCTTGCAAAACTGAAACTCTGAAGTCATTAAATAACAACTTCCTATCTCCTTCCTGCCCCAGGTCCTGGCAACCACCATTCTGCCTTCTGTCTCTATGGACAGTC